TGGCCAAAATTAGGACAATTTGAGCATCAATAGAGACCGATAACTGCATCTATATTGGATGAATTTAAATGCATCAAATATGTTCAAATCCATGAGTGCAAAATGATATTTTTAAGGAAGAAAATGAACTAATCAACATTTGAGGAAGCTAGTGAACTAACTCATTCAAATAAAATGATACATTGAACAGTTGTAAATAAAACATTTATCTTGCCTTTTCTATTTCAAGTCTACTACTGGGTGACCAAACAGTAGATTAGTGGAAGTTTCCCTTTGTGTAAGTATTTCAACTAATAAATGAAAAAGAATGAAAGAATTAGTTTGCACAACCCCACATGATTGCTGTGTCTAGGCAATGATCATCATGGCTGCCACCATCACAAGCAGAGCCAGTCAGGCATCCAGCACTAACTGATGGAAGAAGGCAGTGCCAAAATTTGCCCTAAATTGAACCTGAATTTGATCAAATCTTTCTATCCAATGCTAATTTACAGGGAATACAGAGGACAGAGGAACATGTAGCAGAACACCATAAGAACAATCAGTAAAAGCCAGATAGTAGGTAACTCTACAAGAAAAAAGAACAGGTTTTACAGCAAACAGAAAAAATGATGGAAGAAGAATACATAGATTAAAAAGAAAATGTCACCCGGGCTTGGTGTCTCAGTCTGTAATCCTGCACTTTGGAGGCTGAGGTGAGTGGATTGCCTGAGCCCGCAGGTTTGAGACCTGCCTGGGCAGCTTGGCCAGACCTCATCTCTACAATAAATCAAAAAATTAGCTGGGTGTGGTAGCGCGCACCTGTAGTTCCAGCTACTTGGAAGGCTGAGGTGGAAGGATCGCTGAAGCTGCAGTGGCCAGGAGCGTGCCACTGCACTCTAGTCTGGGTGACAGAGTAAGACTCCAACTCAAAAAAAAAGAAAAAGAAAAAAAGAACATGTCAACCTATCACAATGAGTAGATGTTATTTGAATTCTAGTTCAAACAAACCAAAGAAATAAAAAATGCATGAGTTTATAATATTTGAAGTCACTGGTGTTTGGACACTGTCTGGATACTTTGCTTGAAGAATTTTTAACTTTTAAGTGTGATAATGGTGCTGTGGTTATGTTTTGGAGAGTCTTAGGGAGATACCGAAATATTTCTGGAGGAAATAATATGTTGTCTTGGATTTGTTTCAAAATGAGATGAGAAGGGAAAGTGGGTGGAGATAGAGAAGAAACAAGCCTGGCTAAGAGCTGATCATTGTCATTCCTGAGTGGCGGGTATATTGGCATTAATTATACTTTTCTGTCTACTTTTGTACGTATTTAAGTTTTCCCACTTGTTACTTGATTCTGTGTTCTCCTTGTCAGCCTAAAAATCTAAGCTCAAGGGTATGGAAATTGGGGCACTGAGATGCCATCTACAAGTGTTCATGTCTTACTTTTTCTTGTCAGTTAAGCTACTCAGTGCCTGCCTGTGCTCTGAAAGCCACACAAGGTCCAGTCATGGTCCCTGATAAGTGTGCCTCCCCCATCCAGGGCACCTGCAGGACAGGTGGAATAGGCCAAGTGCCCACACATGTGCCTCCTCTGAGCCACAGATCCAAGTGGTGTGTCCCAGTGCTGCCCACCATTGCCCCTGGAACATTCCTCGGTTCCCACAGAGACACAACACCAGGCATTTGAGAGTATCCACTACAAGAAGACTCAAGAGGAAAATGGCTCTGCAACAACACAAATCCCTTCGCTGTACCCCTCAGATGTTCCTGTGGTCACTCTTGCTTGATTTTTCACATAGTCCTGTCTGCCACTGTCTGGCCAAGCCTCTCTTTTTATTTCTCAGTAAGAAGACCCCTTTCCTCCTCAGCCAGGGCTTTGGGGGTTGAATTTCCTGGAGAAATTGCTGTGTTGCAGCCAAAATTACTTCTAGACCCATCTCTGGCTCTAGCTTGTGTTGTAGAGGTAGATAAAGTGATACGTGTGGCCGAGCTTTGAAGATGATGCTGTGCTCTGTGCATACAAATGCTTGGCAGAGCCAAACTTTCCAGAACACATGTTCCTGTACTGAAAGTCCACAGGCTCTCAATTTTCCTCTGGAGCATGAAAATACCCTGGAAGATGTGTTTCACCAATGGAGCATCCACAGAAAGCTGTGTCCCCAAGTACACTGCACCTGCCCAGGGCCACAATGGAGACTGGCAAGGGCTGGGCCAAGCAGGCTCCTGAAAAGAGAAATGCTGACATCTGAGTCTAGTGCCCAACTCATGTTACCGATGGAGCCCTGGATGTGAGCTCCTCGCCAAGTGGGTTTCGTCACCAGGCAGGACAAGACTAAAGCATGCCTAGCCTCTTTTCGTTCACAGCAGGGATGTCTGAATGCATGGATAGTAGAGAGCAGAGTCTCAGTATCAGAACAATACACATGGTGAACTTTTCAAAATCTACATTAATGATAACAGTAGTGATAAAGTGTGGTCTTTTGGTATCATCTCATTTCATCCTTACAGCAAATCTGAACAAGTCTCATTTAGATGAGGAAACCGAGGCTCCAAGAAGTGACCTGTTCAGGGAGATGAAGGCTTCGCACCGTCCGCTCCCAGGCTGTCAGCTCCAAGCCTGTGCTCCACCTGAGGCCTGCTCATCCCTCCCTCTCTTCCTTCATCCCTGTTCAGGGCAGTGTCTCATCAGACACACCTAGGGGAGCTCCCCGCCCCCCACTTGCTTGCATGCCCCTGACCTGAGCATGGCCCTCTCTGAGCATCCATCTCTCCTGTGGCCACCCCACAACCACTTGCCTCCCAGGCAGCTGCTCTGAGCACACCAGGGTCTGCCGGCCTGTGAAGCCTGAGGCAAAGGAGGCGTAGTCGTGCTTATCCTGCCTTCATTTAAAACAGTGATATTTTGTTCATCAAGGATTTTTCATTCATTTTGATTGTTGAATATATAGCATTAAACTATTGTCTGTCTTGATTCCTGAGGTTGGTTGGTTTGCTTGCTTGTTTGTTTGTTTGTTTTATCTCTTTAAGTTTTTCAACTGTGACAGGTGCCTCCCCTTATACCTGGCCCTGCCGTTCATAAGCACTGTAACCAGGAGGACAGAAAGAAGAATTGAGCAGATTCAAGCTCTCAGGCAGTGGGGCTCTCTGTTGAGAGAAACATGGCTTGCAAGGCACTGACTACCCCACTGTTGCCGTGGAGGTGGAGAGTAACCTCCAGGCACTCACTCACTGTCTTCTTCTGCCTGTCCTCAGGGGCTGGGCCACAAGCCTCTGCCCCTGTTAACCCAGCTTGGTCTCCATCTACCCCATCCTGTCACCTTCCTGTCTCTGATTAAAATATCTACAGACAAATATAATACTGGCGTGTTGTCTGTGGCCCCCATTGAAGCAGAAGTTAATGAAAAATCAATCCTGAAGCGGTTTTGCTTTCATCCTGTTGCACCTCTATCCTGCAGTTTTGCCTTCTCTAGTTAGGCCAGTTTCTCTAGTGAAGGGTCTCCCAGATCCAGCAGCCTGTGTCTGAGGCCTGCACCTGTGTCTGTGCCTTTCTCTCTCTGCTCACTAGGGAGCCCTGGGGAGGCTCGAAGGACTCATAGTTCCCATATAGCCCTACAGCAGTGGCCTAAACAGAACAGCAGCTTGATGGAGGCTGGTGGCTTGAGGAATAGCCTCAGGCATAGGAGAGAAGACAGATAGAAGGCATGAGCCCCTTCTAGTGTCGATTCCTTGTGATTCCAAGCCAAAGTATTAGAGGCAGGCCCCTGCTTCCTGCCTTCAGCAGGCTGGTTTGTAGCTGTTCTGTTACTCGGTGGAGACCTGGGAATGCAAGGGTAGTCTTAGGGTCTCTATTGAGAGTTCATTCCCTAGTTTGATAATTAATGTTTACTGAGTATGTACTATGGGCCAATACATTTTATACATGCATTTCTTAAAATTTCATAGTAACTATGAGACACTGTTATTATTCCAGTTCCGATGAGGAAATAGCCACATAGAGGTATGATTGCATTCCCTCAGTCACACAGACAGTAAGTGATGGAGCCATTTTGGATCCAGGGGACTGATTCCAGGGCCAACCCCTTGCCCCCACACTGCATTGCTTCTCCTAGGGCCAAGTCACACTGAGAACAGCTGGACACACCATGCTCGCCAGAGCTGCCATTGAGGCCCTCGGAGATGTTCTGTTCGAGGGCCAGGATATACTGGGGTGAGCAGGAATGTGGAGCCAAGCACAGACACCCAGAACCTCATGCCACTGGGCGTGGCCAATGGGTGCTTTGGGCCACACAGGGCAGGTCAAAAGGCACAGCCCTGCACTTAGGAGGAGTGCCCCCACCAGCCCAGCTCCTCCCATATCCTCATGAGGCGTGAGTATGAGGGCTTAGTGACAGTCGCAGCGTCAGACTTAAGAAAGATATCTTGAAGCAGATAGATGCAGTAGTTCCTTGCCCCACCAAAAAAATCATGTTAAGTCCATCCTTTAATCTCTGTCTGCATGAAGGACAAGATACAGAGCAGGAGACGTGGGCACAAATCTTCCCTCCCATGCCAGTGAAAACTTGTCAGGTTCACAGCACGGCAACCTGGTATAAGCATAAAATGACTGAGATTGGATGATTCACTGTAGCTGAAAAGTCCATAGACAGATGAACTGATGTACAAGACGTGGTCTGTGCATGCAATGGAAGATTATCCAGTCCTAAACAGGAAAGAGATTCTGACACAGGCTGCAAAATGGATGAACCTCAGGGACATGATGCTAAGTGAAATAAGCCACTCACCAAAGTCAAATGCTACAGGATTCTACTGACATGAGGTACCTAGAATTGTCAGATTCACAAGGTGGAATGGTAACTGCCAGAGATGGAATGGTATCTGGAAGCGGGAGAAATGGGAGTTGCTGTTTAATGGGCACAGAGTTTCAGTTTAGGGAAGATAAGAAAGCTCTGGAGATGGATAGCGGTGCTGGTTGCATAGCAGTGTGAATGTACTAAATACCACTGAGCTGTACACTTAAAATGGTTACAGTGTAATTTCATGTAGCGTATACTTGACCACAGTATCTGAGATGTTTACTAGTATAACTGTGATGTTTACTAGTCTAGGTTCAAACAATTCTGCACTGTAAGCGTGATGCTGAAATAGAAGTGCTTACTAGAATGGGGACAGTGGAGCCAGCCCCTTGTCAGGGCCCCTCCTGCATGGAAGCTGGTGGCCCACTGGCAGGCGAGGGCCTGGAGGCCCAGAAAGGCAGAGGCTGGGCCTCAGTCAGTTGGTCTCAACCCAGGTGCAGCCTCCTCTGGTGACAAGAAGTAAAGCCTTCAGCTTGTTCTCTGATTTGTGCCCCAGGTGGCAGTGACAAAAGAAGAGACTCTTCCGGCTGTGACTTCGGTACATGGAGAGAAGGAAGAAGACGATTTCCTAATTGGTACCATATACATCAGGTCAAATAATTTTCTTATTTTCTAGCCACACCAACCAAAAAGAATACCCAAGTAGGAGACATGGGCATTATAGGGTAGTCACGATGAGCATCCCTGAGGTTACAGACCTCCCTGCTGAAGACCCTCAGTCCTAACAGTCTGCACATTAGATGAACTTATTTCCTCCCTGCTTGCAGAGGCACAGGAGGGCTTGGAGAGGAGAACTGTCACAGCCATACTGGGACAGGGCTCAATTAGGCTAGTGTGCTCAGCTCTAGGGCAGGAGCACCTGCCACAACCCAGAGTGGTTATCACAGGGGGAGCAGAGGACAGTCATCAGTAGCATGAAATTCAAACTCACCCCTCCATATATAACATCAATTATATTCTTGCTAGTATACAATTTTCTATCATCTATATTGGAATCAGCAACCTTTTTTGTGAGGGTCTAGAGAGTAAATATTTTCAGTTTTGTGGGCCTCATGGACCCTGTTTTAACTATTCAACTCAGCCATGTGCAAAAGCAGCCACGGACAATTTGTAAATGAGTGGGTGTGGCTATGTGCCAATAAAACTTTATTTACAAAAACAGGTGGCAGACCACATTTGGCCAGTGGGCCATGAATTGTCAATGTCTTGCCTACACAAACACCAAGGATGCACTTGTGCTGTGTCATCCATGACTGAGTACCTGCCAGTGACCCCCACAGTGTTCACTAATGTGAGTCACTCTCACATGCAACATGATGGTGGCTTTTTCCCAGCAACTGGCTGCTGAAGTCATACTAGACCAAGCAGCAGGATGCCCATTGTATCCCTCTGGGATTATTCTGTCTAGGAAATCTGACTTCCTGAAGGATTTTGTTGGGTTGTTACTGTAAATATGACAACTCTGAGAAGGATGGCAGGTAGCTTAGCAGTCATCTTCACAAGTTTGCTATTTCAGTCAACTGGGGATTGACCTGGAGTCTTTCCTGATAGCAGTCCTTAAGCAGTATCTGATAGCCAAGTGAGGGCTGAGGGGGTGAGATGGTGCACTGATGAAGGCATCATTGGGATAGAGTGGGAAACACACATGACATTGTGTAAGTGTTCACATGTCTTTACAGTTGGAAAAGGATTAGAAATCTAGTGATTCCAAATAAGTCTTTCTAAGTATATTCAGGTGAACTCTTGCAATTTAAGCACCATCTAGGCTTTTTTCTACCCATTGGTCATTATTGGAATTTTTTCTACTATTGGGTAGGGTTAAAATGTAAGTTCAGAAGCACTGGAGTTGGTGATGACCCCTTGCCTTAGTCTATTTGGGTTGCTTATAAAACTAGGTGGCTTATGAACAAAAGAAACTTATTTCTGAGAGTGCTAAAGTCTGAGAAGTATAAGATCAAGGCACCAACAAATTTGGAGCCTGGCAAGGGCCCATTTCCTGCTTCATAGATGACACCTTCTCACTGTGTCCTTACATGGTAGAAGGGACAAAGGAGCTCTCTAGGATCCCTTTTGTAAGGGCAGTAATCCCATTCATGAGGACTCTATGCTCATGAACTAATAACCTCTGAACAGTCCTACCTATTAATACCATCACCTTGGGCATTAGGTAGCAACATATTAACTGTGGGGGGACACAAATATTCAGACCATAATACCCCTTCTCCCACGTGTCATGTACAGAGGGATGATATTTGGGTCTGACCGTTATAATTCTTCTTTCATGAAGAATAGGCAATCGGCCCAAACCAGTTCAAAAATGTGCAACAGCATGTGTAAATGTCTCCCTTGGATCTTTGCATGTGTCGTCACTCACATCTCATTTCCTTCCCATGGTGAGATGCCTCTCTCTTCTTCCCTGCAGATGGATGGTTTCTAGTCTGCTTCCAAACCCCACCTCGGCCGAGTGTTGGGCAGCACTTCTACATGATCATATGACGCTTGATATGGACGCAGTCCTGTCAGACTTTGTTCGGTCCACGGGGGCAGAACCTGGTCTGGCCAGAGACCTGCTGGAAGGTAAGCCCGCCTCCTTGGCCCCAACACCACCCTCTTGGGCATGACCACCTTCCAGAGGAGATGTCTGACACCTGTCTACAGTGGTCCTTAAGCAGTATCTGACCTCTTGCAAAAGTGAAAGAAACTGTTAGTGATGAAATTATTTGTGTTATTCTTGTCTTTATTTGGGGTATAAAATCGATCACCTAACTCTGTACAGTAAAATTGCACAGGGCACTAATTGGACTTTGCCTTATGTTAAATCTTATACATGTTGAGCCAAAATTTATCATAATTACTTTCAAGAAAGTATGTTCAGCTGGGCTCGGTGGCTCAGCCTATAATCCCACGCCTTTGGGATGCTGAGGTGAGTGGATTGCCTGAGCCCGTGGGTTCGAGACCCGCCTGGGCAGCGAGACCTCATCTCTACAATAAATCAAAAAATCAGCCGGGCATGGTAGCACGCGCCTATAATTCCGGCTACTCGGAAGGCTGAGGCGGAAGGATCGCCGGAGCCCAGCAGGTCGAGGCTGCGGTGGCCCAGAGTGGCCACTGCACTCCAGTCTGCGCGACAGAGTGAGACTTCAACTCAAAAAAAAAAAAAAAAGAAAGAAAGTATATTCAGTGGTGCAGAACTATTAAGACGTTTAAGAAAATATTTGTATGGGAGACCTTAGCTTCATTTCTCTGTTTTAGCTGAGACAGAAATACTTTAGGCCAAAGCTGTTGGTTTAAAAAAAAAAAAAAAAAAACACTTACTAGCCAGTAAACTAGTTGAGAATAATTCACAAGCTAGAAAACAACATTCATCCTCTAGCTTTTCAAGTGGGCCATAATTTGCTACATGAAAAATGTGTATCCTCCGTATATATGATGTTTACTCTTTACTTCATATGTATAAACAGCAATTTGTGAAATTAGTAAATATTTAGTCAAACATTGTAAATCACAGTGATTCACTTAGGGAAAAAACGGGAATGATTACACAATTTGTACAAGTGGAGATAACTATTTAAGCCTATTGAAAATTGGAAATCACCTCTTGGAGGGTTATGATAAAATGGCAATTGCAATAGCATGGTTTTTAATTTTCCCTCGATCTTCCAGAATTTCAAATCAACTCCGGGTTAGAATAAAATGCACTTAGAATGTTTATGATCTATGGGAATCAAAATGCAATTCTAGCTTTTTCCTATTTATATGATATAATGTCTCCTTGCCAGTTTCTACTGTTTAAGTGGACAGCAGCGTAGACAAGTAAGTTTGGTGGTGAGATCTGAGCTCAGGTTCAAGCTCATCCGCTTATCAACTCTGAGACATAGGGCATATTATTTTACTTCCCCTAACCTCAGATTTTTTTTTTCTAGAAACTGAGGTTAAGCCACCTTAAAAGGTGATCATGAACATAGAAGTTGTGCTACCAAGTGCTGCTCAAGAAATAGTGAAGATGATGCTGTGGTTGCTGTCATAACTGGTCCTAACACTGGTATTAGTTTTGAGACAGCCTTAAATAGGAAGTAATCATTGTCATCTCTTTCTTTTTTGTTTTTATTTAGTTTTATTTTTCAAACTAAGAAACAGGAAAAAATGGCTTTTTGTATCTAGTTCTATGAATTTTAACACGTGTATAGGCTTACGTTATTACCACCTCTGTTAAGACACAGAGCACTGTGTCACCTCTAGATTCTCTGTCCTACTATCTTTTATAGTCGGACCCTTCCTCATCTCATCCTCTGAGAGCCACTGCTCTGTTTTCTATCACTAGCTTTGTCTCCTCCCAGGAAATTCACAAAAATGGAGTCATACACGCCCTAATCTTTTGAAATTGGCTTCTTTTGGCATAGTTAAGAGTCATCCAAGTGTCAACAGCTTGTTCCTTTTTATTGCTGAGTAGTTTTACATTTGGGAGGTGCACTATAGTGTCCTTATCCATTCCTCTGTTGAAGGGCCTTCCAGTTATTGGCAGTGATGACTAGAGCGTCTATAAACATTTAAGAAGAGAGTTTTTATAGATATAGTTTTAATTTTTCTAGGGTGAATTCAGAGGGGCGGGATCACTGACTCATGTGGTGAGTGCAGACTAACTTTGTGAGAAGCTGCCAATCTCCCTTCCAGAGCGCTGTACCACTCTGTATTGCTACCAGCAATGTATGAGCATTCCAACTGCTCCACGCTGCTGCCTGCACTTGGTATTTCTTTCTTTTTACAAAAATTTAGCCATTTGAATGGGTATGTCATGGTATTTTCTCATTGTTTTAATTTTCATTTTCCTAATAACTGACAATATTGAAATTTTTCATGTTGTTTTCCATCTGTATGTTCTATTTTTTAAAACATCTGTTCAAACTTTTTTTTAATTTAAAATTGTGGGGTACAGTCCAGGGTTAGACATACAAATATTCATTGTGCAGGTACCCTTGTTGATGAGGTGTTCCCCCCCTTCCCCAGGCAGTTTCCCACTACTGCCAATCCCAACTCCCCCTCCCACCAACAGTTTCCCGCTACTGCCAGTTCTTTTCTTATAGTATTACGATAGTTGTTCAAGATCCACTTATGAGTGAGAATATGTGATACTCAGTTCTTCATTTCGTGAAAGATCACTCAGTATTAAAGACTCTAAGTCCATCCAGGTTGCTGCGAAATTCACTGTTCATACTTTTTGCCTGTTTTAAAATTGTTTGCTTTCTTATTCTTGAGTTTTAAGAGTTATTTATATACTCTGAGTATAAATTATTTGGCAGATATATGATTTGCAAATATCTTCTCCAAGTCTGTGGTTGACTTTTCATTCTCTTAACAGTGCCTTTTGCAGGGCAGAGTTTTCAATTTTGATGCAGTTCAAGGCATCGTTTTTTCCTTTTATGGATCATGTTTGGGTGACATGTCTGAGAGATTTTGAAAAACAACAAGTCATGAAGATGTTCCCTTCTGTGGCCTTTTAAAAATTTGTATATTTGTTTGTTTCACATTTATATCTATGGCCCATTTGAGTTGATTTTTGTGTCATGTATAAGATGTAGGTTGAGGTTCATTTTATACATGTGCATGTCCAATTGTTTCAACATCATTTGTTGAAAGTATTATCCTTCCTCCATTGAACTTGAATTACTTTTGCACAATTCTCAAAAGCCAACTGAGAGCATTTGTGGGATCTATTTCTTGACACTGGTTCTGATCAATATGTCTATTCTTTTACCAATACTACACCATATTGATTGCTATAACTTTACAGTGGATTTCAAAATCAGTGTGATTCTTCTAAATTTATTCTTCCTTTTCAAAAGTATTTCAACTATTCTGTTTTCTTTGCCTTTCCATATAAAGTTTACAATAAGCTTACCTCTGTCTATAAAATGTCTTACTAGGATTTTTATTGGAATTTTGTTAAATCTGTAAGTCAATTCTAACTGTGTTATGTCTTTCAATCCATGAAGTATAGCCAAAATTTCCATTTATCTTGGCCTTCCCTGAGTTATTTCATGAATATTTTATAGTTTTTAGCATCTAGATCCTATACATGTTTTGTTAGATTTATATCTAACTATTGTACATAGTATTTTTTCATTTTAGTTCAACTTTTTAAAATTTCAGTGCCCAGTTGTTCATTACTAGTATAGAGAAATATAAATGATTTTTATATGTTGATCTTGTATCTTGCAATCTTGCTAAAGATAAACTCAATATTTTGTTCTAGAGGGTCTATGTGTGTATGTGTGCATGTTTTCCTCGGGATTTTCTATGTAGATAATCACGTTGTCTCTGAATAGGGACTGTTTTATTTCTTCCTTTCTAATCTGTATGCCTTTTTATTTTTCTTGACGTATTTCACTGACTAGGATTTCCAGTTACAGGTTGATTAGGAATGGTGAAAAAGAATACTCTTGCCTTGTTCTTAATCTCAAGGGAAAAGCATTCAGTCTTTCACCATTAAGAGAATGTTGACTATCGCTTATTGTAGATACTCTTTATCAAGTTAAAGAAATTCCTTTCTTGTCAAAGTTTGCTGAAAGTTCTTTAATGAATAGATGTTGAATTTTTTTAAATGCAGATCAAGTGTTTTGGGTTTTTTGTTTTGTTCTGCTTTAAACTGTCACTCTACCAGATTATATTGATTGCCAGCCGTCCAGCCATGTCTTTGACTGTTCCTCTGTGCCATGTTTTTCTCCTCCCCTTCTGAGACTCAGATGATATGAAGGTTAGACCTTTTATTATCACCCCACAGGTCTCTACAGTTCTATTCCTTTTCTTTTTCAATCTCTTTTCTGTCTGTTGCTCAGATTATTTATATTGATTTTTTTTTGTTTGTTTGTTTTTTGAGTTGGAGTCTCACTCTGTCGCCCAGACTGGAGTGCAGTGGCCGTTCCTGGCCACCGCAGCCTCGACCTGCTGGGCTCCGGCGATCCTTCCGCCTTAGCCTTCTGAGTAGCTGGAATTACAGGCATGCGCTACCTTCCCGGCTGATTTTTTGATTTATTGTAGAGATGAGGTCTCGCCAAGTTGCCCAGGCAGGTCTTGAACCCATGGGCTCAGGCAATCCACTCACCTCAGCCTCCCAAAGCACGGGATTACAGGCTGAGCCACCGAGCCCAACTTATATTGATTTCTTTATAAATTTACTGGCCATTTCCTCTATCATCTCCATTCTGTCCTTGAGCTCATCCAGTGAGTTTATTGCTTTAGTTGTGAACTTTTATTTTATTTCTAACATTTCTTCTTGGTTCTTCTCTGTATCTTGTTTCTTTCTTTCTTTCTTTCTTTCTTTCTTTCTTTTCTTTTTTTTTTTTTTGGAGTTGGAGTCTCACTCAGTCGCCCAGACTGGAGTGCAGTGGCGGCTCCCGGCCACCACAGCCTCGACCTGCTGGGCTCAGGCGATCCTTCCGCCTCAGCCTTCCAAGTAGCCGGAACTATAGGCACGCGCTACCATACCCGGCTAATTTTTTTTTTTTTTTTTTTTTTTTTTTTAATTGTAGAGATGAGGTCTCGCCAAGTTGCCCAGGTGAGTCTCGAACCCTCAGGCTCAG